TTTTAACTTAAAATCTGTGAAAGTGTGTGTGTGTCCATCTGTGTGTATGCATGCACATGGGGTGTCACAGTGCTAGTAGAATTTGAAGACCAGGCTTGAAGCTATGTATCATCCCTAAGCTTCTTTAAAAATCTGTCCTGCTGTCAGTCTGCAGAGGATGCACATGTGAGCGCTGATGGAGATGTAGGCAAACAGCAAGGATTTCAGATATTCAGTCAAATCTCTGTTTTCTGAGTTCAGCAAGTGAATCTACACTTGCTACTTGCACCAAGAAGACTATAAGATGCTTTTCTAAATGCTGTCACTTGACTGATTAATCCATTCAAAGTGCTCATTAGTATGTGTGAACACCTCATGCTGTGCTGGAGAGAAATTTAGTAAATAATGACTACTTCCTCTGTCGTTCAGACTTGGCTAAGATGAAGAGTCACAGCACTCATGTGTAACAGTGTTAAATATGCCTCTGTGCTGTGCAGATACAGTAGATGTAGGCCTCATTTACAAGACACTGGTCATTGCAAGGTTCTGCTATCTGAATAAAATCCAGATAAAGATGCTCATTTACATTTGGTGGTGTGTACATGCCTCTTTTAGCCAGATGAGTCATCTGACTACAATCTGTCATGATTTTTCCAGGCTACATATAAATCAGGATCAGTCCTTCTCCAGTCCAGAGAAGGGTAGGAGTGCACCAGAAGCTTTTTGGTAGCTGCCAAAAACACCAGAAAAATCTATAACATCTGCATTTTAGTTACAGCAGTAACAGTCACTGTTTGTGTTTTATCAACTTAGAAATATTGTTTTTGTTGATATTTGTGACTTTGATGAAGATCAGATCACATTTCATGACCAATATATGCAGAAAACCAGGAAATTGCAAACAGTGCCATTACTTTTTCTTGCGATGTACATCATGGTTTCATCTGTGTTCCTCCATGTTCTTCTGTGCTGCTATAGCTTTATTTTTCAGAAATTCACACATCAGTGATGAACAGTCCAGTAAATGTTCTTTTAGAAACCATAAATATGAACACATAATTGCAATGTTGCCATTCAGTTTTATTGACACTATTCCTCTTGGCAACATTTGCATTTAAAGCAGGAAATTGTACAGAATAACGTCAATAAAACAGGATTGAAAGCCATGTTTATTACCCATTTTATACCCCTGTGCTCAATGATATGAAGGATTTGTATGTCATCGGTACATTTTTGTGACAGTTTCACAAATGCTTGGTGCATTTCTTAATTTCCCAGGTTTAAAAAATCTGATAGCTAAAAAGATTCAGTACAGTGGGTCAAAATATTTTGTGAGTATAGGTGTCTGTCTGGTGCATTGGGGTGTTCTGCTACATTAAGCTCTTCAGTGGAATAAAAGTGCCGTTTGTTGTGTTGTGGCAGTTTTGTCCTTGTGGGCCACAGCAGGATGTTCCATTTACAGTGCAGACGATAATTACTCTGCTTAGTTCACCTGAAGACAGCATGCAGTTCCCACTGCACTGACAGAGAAAACTGCATCGATTATATGCAGTAAAATAAAGCAACAAAATGCTGTCAATCTGTTGTGTTTCCATCCTGGTTAAGCTGTCAGTGTTTATCCCTACAGGGGCACACTGCCAGGTTTCCTCTGGATTTATTTCCATTAAACCACAGGCACTATGGTCTTTCTGTGAGATAGGCGACCATTGGTTTGTCTTGGCACGGCCCTCACTGCTGGCCAAGGAGACATGAGGATGGCGAGTATGCCATAATAAACTGGTAAGATAAGACAATCTATTTGTCCCTGGTGGTGGTCCAATGCATGTAAGGCTTCCATTCACCTCTTCAGTCACAGAGCATCAAGGATTATATGGCAAACAAACCAAAAAGAGGACTTTGTTACACATGTAAAACAAAACCTTCATAAGGTAGAAAAGAAAATGGATTTTTTTAAATCCTGTGACTGGTGGATAAAACCTGCTGCTCTGCGTTTCATCTCGACCTTGTTGGTAATGCAATCAGCATTTTGCAGATATGAATTATTGTAATTATTATTATGCTTTTTCAATCCATCACTCCAGGCGTTTTCCCCTGAGAATTTTGGATCACCGCTCTGAATAACACTGCCACAACTAATCACCTCCAAGAGTCACTTTAGGTTTTTGCTCAATTAAAATTGAATCTTGAAACTAGTGGAGGAACTTTTTTTTTTCCCTATGGGGTGATTTCATTTTATGTTCCATGAGAAACTGAGCGATTGCACTTTTTTGATTTATACAATACAGTCTCTCACCTGCAGCAGATTGTTCATACTGCAGACTAGCTCTATACTTTCTAAAGGTTAGCACAAATGTTGTCCAAGTGTCCTGTTAGTGCCCACCAGAGAGGGACTGACCCTGCCTGCAGACACTTGAGGCAAAAGTGCTTGCAGCTTGAATGTGAAAACATCAATTACTGACCACAGTTTACTGTAGACATAGCCAGATACTGTAGCAGTGCTTTTCCTTAGGTGGCAACTGTTCAAGTGGTGCTAAAAGTAGCCCAGATGATCAGAACCAACCCAAAACAATTTAACAAAGTTGCCCAGCCCTGGCAACACTGATGGTGTCCTATTTTTTGATTCTGTATTAGATTAGTGCAGCATGCCTAGACAAGTACAGTTCCCACTGAAATGCAAATGATCCTTAAAATTTTATGATAAAATGCACTGTAGATTCCCTCCAGAACAAGGACTTTCTGATCTGACACCCCTTTTGGCAGGACCACATCATTTGGTAGTGCCTTAGAGAAAATATGTGATAGTTAGAGGAAGATCATGGCCTTGAGTTAAGATAAGATTAAGATAGGTTTGATGTTTTGTTGACAAATCCAACCACCCTGATTTCCCTGACCTTGTGAGTTTATAAAAATGTCACAATATTTCTTTGCTTTGCATAATTTCTAGAGGCATTGACAGGCTTAAACATCACTTAAACATAAACATATATCTTTTTTGACATTTGCATAAATGACTGATACTAGACATTTCCCTTGACAAGACAGCCTATGAAAGTGAATCACTTTAAATTGCAGTATGTAGTGCATATCAAAGGAGGTGCAAAGGAGGCGCCCCGTCTTGATTGCCCCCCCCCCCCCCCCCCCCCC